TACCTGTTATTTTGGATACAGCAAATTCTGCTTACCCAATGGCTTTGAAATTTTTATGGTAGTCTATGTGAAGCATGAGATAGCTCCTGCAATTTTTGTAGATTTTTCTGAATAGTTTTACTATATATTGCTTTAATCACCTAATTAACTAAAGAAATTAGAAAATGGCATTAAATAAATTGTTTAGAAGTTGGTACTAGACTTTCTGATATTTCTTTGGTATGCAAAACATGTTGGTAAACTTGGTTTGATCCAATTATACTTTTGCATCATCATTAAATAATTAATTTAGCGACCCTGTCGTTTCTGGATAGATTCTTGGTTTACTGAAATTCGGTTTGGTTAACGTAAGAATCATGCTTTGATGTTTACAAATGATTTGTAGAGAATTTCATAAGCTTTCCAGAATGTCCTCTTGCAAGTCATTTGAATTTATAGAACTCTGTCTATGATTAAATTAAGGGACTACTTGTGTGCATATGAAACTTTAAATGATAATTTATGTATGCCTTTACTATTTCTAAGTTTGTGGTAATGTTCCTAGGTGTTAGGCCTTTAACTGAAGATGAGCATCTTTATCTTAGGTTATGCAAGTTAGGTAAGTTGATCTTGTTCTTCAAGTTAAGTTAGATACCTGTTTTAAAGTGATTTGAATAGAGCTTATCTCCAATGTAGATACACTTAATAACATAATGGTTCAGAAATGATGATATGATGATGACAGCCTTATTATACCTGCTATGGTTAATATTGTTTGCTCCTAATAAGTGAGTGCTCTAGTACAGGTGCTAATCTAGTGGACAGGTAAATGATGATAAGCTTGATGCTAAGTTTAAATTGGTTACTATAATCATAAGCTCTTTTATGCAACTGTGTCAAGCTAGCCCACCTCATAAGCCTTGCATGATCCTTGGTGTCTTTTATTTCTGGTTTTGTCGGGTAAATCTAGCTGAGTACCTTCTCGTACTCAGGGTTTATCTGCAAGTATTGCCTTCTTCCGGCTGGGGATGAAGACTAGACCATTGGGCACGATCTCTCCTAGTTCTCGTACCTGATGATGCTTTTGTGGGACATGACTAAGACCTGGCAATGTAATTGGAACTATGAAGTTATGTACTAAACTATGTTGCTTCCGCACGTTTGAACTTGGTTTGTAATATTTTATTTGAACTCTGATGGATGTAATCCAAATGCTACTTATGAAATGTTGTAACGGATGATGTGTTGTGTTGAATCACTACGGTCTTGGTTTGTATGTCGAGAGTTGGTTGAAATCCTTCGTGATTTCCGGACTACCGGGATTATGGGAGCTTAAGTACAGGAATTTGATCGCTTCGGTGATTGTTTTTGTACTTACGTTCTTATGATTTGGTCGGTTCTGTTGCAGCCACAATAATCCATCCTCGGATCTAGTGCAACAGATCGTTTTGATAGACATTAGAAACATGCTGCAGTCTATGGGAAAGGACATATGGTCATTTCTTCTAGATATTGATCACTCATACGACGATGCCAGCCATATTTCTCGTGAGATATTTGAGGAAGCTAGCGTCGAGCAGAATCCCGAAGATGTGCTATTGTACAACTCACTCAACGCCGAGCAAAGGTCTGCCTACAATGAGATAATGGTCGTTGTCTATAGCAAGCAAGGTAGGTTGTTCTTTATGGATGGACCTGGTGGGATGGGAAAGACCTTTTTGTATAGGGCACTTCTCTCAAAATTACGTAGCTAGGACAAGCTTGTCGTGGCTACAGCTATATCTGGAGTCACAGCATCCATAATGCCAGGCGACAGGATGGCCTACTCGTGTTTCAAGATACCCCTCACTGTTGAAGAGGGTGGTTGTTGTAGCTTTACGAAACAGAGTGGTAGTGCCAAATTGCTGCGGCAAGCAGCTCTCATAATTTGGGACGAGGCATCTACGACAAAGAGGCATAATGTGGAAGCCCTACACAATAGCCTACGAGATATAATGGACTGGTCAGACCTACCGTTTGGTGGGAAGACTGTTGTCCTTGGTGGGGATTTCAGACAAATCCTCCCTGTTGTGCGGAAAGGATCCCGGGCTCAAATAGTCGGTGCTTCTCTACGAAGGTCGTATCTTTGGGAATCCATGCGCCACATAAAAGCTCGTCCACAACATCAGGGCTCAGAGTGACCCGTGGTTTGTAGATTATCTATTGCTCATTGGTGGTGGAACGGAAGAGGTTAACGGAGATGGCAATGTACGTATTCTAGATGAGATCTGTGTCCCGTACTCTGGTGATGCTGAGAAAGATCTTCATAGATTGATCGGCATCATCTTTCCAAATCTAAATGCAAACATGGCGGACAAAGACTACATCACCACAAGAGCGATTTTATCTACACGTAACGATTGGGTTGACATGATCAATATGAAAATGATTGATATGTTTGGGCGGCGAGAGAGTGTATCACAGTTTTGACTACATGGTAGATGATCCACATAACTACTATCCATCGGAGTTCCATAACAGTCTGACCCCCAACGGGCTGCCTCCACACGTCTTGAAGCTCAAGCTCGGGTGTCATGTCATATTGTTTAGGAATATTGATCCTGCCAATGGGCTATGCAACGGTACAAGACTGGTGGTGCGGGGATTCCGAAGAAATACAGTCGATGCGGAAAATCGTGGTGGGCGGCATGCTGGGAAGAGAGTATTCCTTCCTCGAATACCGCTATGCCCGTCTGATGACAAGATGTTATCGTTCCAGTTTAAGAGGAAGTAGTTTCCTATCAAGCTAAGCTTTGCCATGACGGTCAACAAGTCACAGGGCCAAACTATCCTGAACATGGGTGTGTACCTGCCCACACCGGTGTTCTCTCACGGTCAGTTGTACGTTGTGATGTCTAGAGCCACATCAAGAACGAATATTAAAATCCTTGCCCTACCGCCTGTTGCGGATACACAGGAGGAGGAGGACAAAAAGATAAAGAAGAAAAATGCTAAAAAGAACACCGAGGAAAAAAAAGATAAAAATGCGTCAAATAAAAAAGGTAAGGACAAGAAGACCACAAAAGTGGATGGAACTTTCACGAAAAATATTATATTTAAGGAGGTTCTAACGCCATAGGTGAGGTAATAGAACATTACTAACGCATAAAATGCATTTTTCATTCAATTTATATTGTACAAATATTATTTCACTAACGCTATATTTGTTGTTGTTCCTAGGTATTTTTAAATGATTTATCAGATTCTACACGAAGATGTTGTATACACACTACATGCCAACTGGAAAATCACCCGTACATGTTAGTTTGTGAGCCTGAGACGCCGCGCTCTCTGTGACTGTGTTAATTTCATAAACTTTATTTTTTTGGATTAAATGACACTTTAACGTTGATATTTAATTTTTACACTATTGTTATCTTATCGTGCGATCCGTGTGTTTTAAGTGCAAAATATTAGCTATTCCGTAGCAACGCACGGCCACGCCACCTAGTATAGTAAAAAGAAAGCTCTTGGTGTATGGAAAGCAGCACATATAAATACACTTGCTATACAACAGTGCCGTTTTCATTTTTCCCCCCTACTAGAAAGGCAATAACCGACCATGTAAAGCTAAGCATGTCTTAGCTTTTGTTTTGCCGTCAGACCCAATAGTATTACTTCTCATAGCTCACCGAGATACCAAGACCGTCCAAAGCCAATTGACACCTCTAGCTTTTGTGATTCATCTTCCGGCTAATTACCATCCATCAAATATAATTTCATTTCTGTACAAGCTTGCAATCACCACATTTCAGCCATTTCAAAAGCCACATAAGGATCACAAAGAACACATGCATAATATTGCAAGCCAGCATGGGCAGCTACACCAAATACACAGAATGAGTACCAAGTCTCCATCCCTTTCACAGCTCCTGGTCAATTCACAGTAGAGCCATGCCAGGAGGACATTACTGGTGGTATCAAAGCTGTGCAACATGAACAACAGAGGCGGTGAGGGGCGAAGCAGAGGGAGGGAGAGAGAGTTCCTGTGCAGGACTGCTGTCCGTACTGTGTGAGCGTGTGCATTAGTACTAGTAATATTGCAAGTCTGCGGCTTTAGTCTATTTAGGTCCTGGTGCTTTGGCATATGCTCCCGGGACATCATTTGATCATTACTTTGAAACAAAAGTGTTACTTGTGGCAGCAATTGTAGTGGTACTCACAAGTTTGTTATTACAAAGTGAAGGCATTGTAAAGTAGCATGTAGTGATTATCTGTTTAACTGTGGCACAGAGAAGGATCCCACTTACCAACCAAACTAATACTAAGCAGCTTTTTTTTAAAACACAAAAACAAAGCAGTTGCCTACTTGCTCCATGCAAATAGAACAGATCATTTATTCCTTAATTTTTCTGTAAGACTTTTGCCCCTTTTGTTCTTTAATAATAATTTGCCTGTAGGGGGCTTCGGCCCCTCTAGTTTCTTCCAAAAAAAACTAAAATAGAACCGATCATGCATATGAAAATATAAATGGTCATTGGTAAATAGACGTATATATATCTGACAAATGACAGCCTCACTGAAATCTTCAGTCGGGCTGGACCGGAATATCCAAATACTCCCATCATTTTCGGCCAAGGATGGATCAGGAGACATTAAGATGTTAATTGCAACCACTCTCCATATTATTCAGAAAGTTATACGAAAATGAATATCACTATACAGACAAAAGTCTCACAAAACAAGAAGATCCTCCTATTTCCTCTAATGAACTATCTATTCTCTTTTTTTCTTATTATTTTTTCTGCTAACTAGACATGAAGTTTACATCATATAATCCTATTGAGCCTATACAGATTTCTTGTTGTTATTCAGAGCTAGAGATCTGACTAAACTGCCTGTTTTACTCTATGCAAGGATTCCAAAATCCTTGGTCTCACTTATATAAGCTTTCCTTTGATCGATTCACGTGGATTTTTATCCTATGCAACTTGACGTCTGACTACAACAGTTCATGTACAAGAACAAGTCCACACTTGCCTTTATTGTTGCATCGTATGTTGCTGTTCCAGCAAAATCTGTGCGTAGAGAAGCTCGTTCCAGGAGTCCGGTACTCCAGGAAGGCACCAGTGGCTGCAGTCCTGGTACAGCTCAGGTGATTTTCTCTCCTCTTCAGTCAACTTCTGCTTGCGGTAGACTGAAGGGTGGGCCTCCTTCCTGTAGTCAGTCATCCTTGTTATGTTCAGGTACACAACGGGTGTTTTCATCCCATGGAGCACCTCCTCCAAAATGCTCATCTTTGTTGGGTATGGCGTGAGGTACTGGTCATTCACTATTGGCTCTGTTTCCTTGTCACAACTGCCGCCTGAATTCCATTGACCCCCACTGCATAACAGAACAGTTAGTGAACATCAGTAACTCATAGAGCACATCGTGCTGAACTTGCAGAGGTCAGAAATAGCTTTGCATACCTGAAATGGGATGCTGAGTAGCCTCTGAAAAACACAGTGGTTTTCTTGGGGTTTACATTGGAATCAACCCACTTTGCCCAGGTGTTGAGAGCTCTCCGAAAGGCATCATGGACATCCAGCTCACTGTACACGCGGTCGCCCTCTTGATAGTAATCTTTCCTGTGGCACATTTTAAAAACAATCAGAACATTAACGGGCAAATGAAATGCAGGATGTATGAACTGCAGATCTTCAATGAATCACACAGGGCATTGTTTTGCTCACCCTAAAGAAGTTTTCTCATGCGTCCACCAGTGACCAGTATTGAAGATAATGATATCTGCGTTCTTGTACCTCGGAAACGCTGAATCCATAATGTCAAGCCTGAGAGTTTCCTGGGTACCCTTTCCATTGGTGATTGGCATCTCCCATTCCTGAACAAGGAAAGGGGAGTGGAAGAACTCCACACTGCAATTGTAGTCCTATAAAACAACAGCATGTTTGTGCATAAGAGTTTGTTCTAATTGATGAAACTAGCAGAGAGCCACAGTCCACAGATAACAAAAATTGGAATAAGGCATATCTACCTGGAACAAGAAAGAGTAGGAGCCCTCAGCCCTGAATTGGCTCCTGCCGGATACCTCAAAAACCTTACTCTTGTCTTTGACAGAATTCCTCAAGATACAAATCAGGGATTCCCACATGTTCCTGTTGAGCGAATCACCGACAAACACCAGCCTCTTTCGCCTCAGCCTCTCCAACATATCAGTTGGGTTCAATCTAACATAAGCAACACAGAACTAACTTTTAAAAAAAAAAGCAACACAGAACTGTATCTATCACACGCCAATAACTATCTATAACTATTGAACTCACCAAATTAAAAACGCGCAGTTGTTGAAATAAACTTTTCTCACCTTGGAATTCTGCATCCGCTAGGTTGCCACCGGAGCCTCTCGTAAGCTTTGTCAGGCCGGCCGTTGAGGTGGCAGTTGAAGGACTCATCGACGTGAGGACATGATCCCGCAGGATACAGAGGGTACGAGTCATCTCGGACCCAATTCCCGTAGAACGTGTCGCAGCTGGCCATGTTCTCAATCCCGTTGCCATCTCCGGCATCCACGGAACTCGCGTTCGTGTCGTCGGAGCCGTTGATCCGAACTGGCACGCCTCCTTTCGCCGATGTGCCATTCTGGGCTGAACCACCGCTCGCGAGTCCAGGTCCAGGCTCGCCACCCTTCGCCTCGGCAGCGGCACTCCCGGCGGAATGTTTGGCTTCGGCGCCGCCTTGCACATGATCATCGGGCGGCGCGCCGCTCGGCACCGCCGCAGTAGCAGCATACCCAGGAACTGGCGCTTCCTTGCCGCTGGGACTGGGAGCTTCGCCTTCGCCCACGCTGCTGGGCGGAACTCCACCTCCGCTTCCCAACTGCTCGCCGGGCCGAACCGCGTCCGCGCTGGAGCCATTGCCTCGAGAACCGCTCGCAGCGAACCCCCAGCCGCCGCTCGGCCCGGCACGCCTCGCCGCGACGCCACCAGGAGGCACCGTGGAGGTGGAGTTGGCGGGGAACAGGGACGAGAGGAAGCCCGAGACCTGCGTGCGGTACGGAGATGCGGAGACGATCAGGCCGTCGAACCACGCCGTGGCCGGCGACGAGGCCGGGGGCACGGGGAGGGTGGGCGCGAAGGCGAAGAAGACCGTGAACCCGGCCAAGGTGAGCGCGAGGCCGTAGAGGCAGAGCCTGACGGGTCGCGCGCGCCCGACGAACCCTTCTCCGCCGAGGTGGCCGATGTGGTCGGCCTCGGCCGCCACGCCGCTCTGCTTCCAAGCGCCCTTCATCCGGTGGCGTACGAAGGCGGGCGAGCGGGAGCTGCGGGAGTTTGTTATGGTTTATTAGAGAAGGCGAGGCGGCAGGGCAGAGGAGGCGCAGGCGGTGCCGGCCGGTGTGGGAAGAAGCGAGGAGGGCCGCGCGAGCCCGACGAACCCTGTTCCGCCGAGGTGGCCGATGTGGTCGGCCACGGTCGCCACGCCGCTCTGCTTCCACGCGCCCTTCATCCGGTGGCGTACGAAGGCGGGCGAGCGGGAGCTGCGGGAGTTTGTTAGGGTTTATTAGAGAAGGCGAGGCGGCAGGGCAGAGGAGGCGCAGGCGGTGCCAGCCGGTGTGGGAAGAAGCGAGGAGGGCGAGATCGCCGTGGCCGTGCTGGGGAGCGATCGATCTGTTACTGTAAAGGCTTTTGTAGGAGGCGGTTGAGGCGGCGTCGGCGTGATGCTTGTTGGAAGTAAAACTAAGAGTATGTGATTTGTTGTTTTACTTTTTTTTTTAAAAGAATCCTAGTTTTTTTTTAGTAATAGACTTCCATGGAGAGAGGTGGTAGAGCCGACATGGTGCAAGGAACCAAATAATTTGATCTTTTTCGTAAAATCTCTTAGTTTGGTTTTACGGGTCTTGCGTACGAAGCTGGTGGAGGCCGCTGTTTGGAAATAATTATAAGTGAAGCTACTTTCTCCGTCTCAAAAAAAAAAAAAGGTGTGGCTATGGGTTCATCTAGGTTGAACTTTTTAAAGTTTAACTAGATTTATAAAACAAAATTATATTTCTAAATAAGTTTATTATAAAATATATTTAGTGATTTATCTAATGATACTGGCTGCGCACTATTAGTGTTAATATTTTCTTATATCATTTTGTCAAAGTCGAAAATAATTGACTACTTGGCATCGCACATGCATGCAGTACCGCATGCCTGCACGCCATGAATAAGAGGTTATAATGTTGTGCCTGGGTTGAGATATTGGCACGACGGCGCTACATGGCACAACACATATAAGAAATCGTGCTTAGGCCCCGCTTGAATCCTCTGATTTTGAGAATCCTGATAGAAAAAAAAGTCCCACAATCCTAGTACTTATCCAAGCGGGCTAGATTCAGAGAGATTTTAACTCGCATATTTTTAGAATCTCAAAATCCAATAAAACTGTTAGGATTATTTTTATCTGAATACTCATAATCTCTTGGGATTCAAATGGTATCTTAACAGTGTCGTGTCTAATACCTGATAGTGTCAGTACAACCATACTACTATCATGCCGCCCGCTTGGCCATCTATATCACTGTCTGCCCTGTCCAAACTGCAAACAGACTTTTTCAGCCACCATCCAAACAGCCAAGTGCTCTTTGACTGTTTGACCAGCACACGTCAGTACTACCCCGTACGGCCGTACGCAGTGCGACCTTACCTTCCAGGTCCGTACGTCTGGTGGTCTTGTGAATGCTTGTGCTTGGCGTCGTTGCATTGCATTCCCACTCCGACACACGCCGTTGTGTATTTGACATTCTGAGACCCAACAGTCAACAGAACAGCCGCAGCCCGTAGCATGCATGCATGGTGCTGCACTTGTTTTTGCACGCACCTAACAGTAGGCGTAGCCTCTGCCAAAGCAATGCTTGCTGCGTGACTTTGCTCGTATACGTCGAGCAAGGGGCTGTCTGTCTTTTTCTTTTTGTTGGTCATTATACTACCTTGTCCAGTGAAAAATCAAAGAAGAACAAATGATTAATAATCCCAGATGAGCTTGCCTCGTACCTTATGCGGGTAAAAGATTTTAGCTTGCTCCAGTGTGAGAGCAAATTTCGCTCCTCCGCACTGACACCCGGCCCCTTGCTCAGCGGCTAGGCGGCTAGGTAAGGCATCCTAGAACCAAACAGCCCCAACCAGTGGCATGGCTTAGAGCAAAGGACGGTACATCTATATATATATATATATATATATATATATATATATATATATATATATATATATATATATATATATATATATATATATATAATTATAATAATAAAGAGATAAAATTTCAGCTCATCTTTTTGTCCATCCATTTGTTTGATCTGTCTCTCTCTAACTACTGGATAATGGAGAGTTTCTTCCATCCGAACTTATATATATAACCTGTGCTCAAACGAGTTAAACTAGAATCCTAATCCTAATTTAAATAGATTCCTCCGAATCCTGAATAACCTGAATAGGAATAGAAATCCTAATCCAGATACAAAAGGATAAAAATAGATTGATTTTTTTTACTTTTTTTATCATCGAGGATGTTCGATTTTATTATTATTATTATGTTGTGCAGTTTCCAATTTCTTTCTTCTTTCACGTCAGTTTCATGTTCCAATGTCGTATGTGTTTTCAGTTTTCCTTTTTTTCCAGGGTTCAGTTTCCGTTTTTCTGTCTTACTTTTTTCCTTTTCTTCCCATGTTATGTTTCCTATACTTTCCCTTATCCATTTCTTCTTCTTTTACCTTTTCTTTTGTCATGTTTCGAGTCCGAACATTGACTTCAGAGTCACTTTTTCCTTTTGATTTTCTGTTTTTATTTTTCACTGATTTTTTAATACCTTTCTGTTCTATTTTTTTATATTTTCCAAAAAACAAAAAATAATATTAAAATATTATGGATCTTTTAAATTCTTGGTCTTGTTTTAAGAAAAGAGAGATTTCCACTTCCAAGATATTAGTACAGTTTTCATTAGTAAAAAAATATCTTATTATAACTAGTTGAATTTTTTGTTTAACTAATCAAACTTTGAATTAAAATCTTGACCATTTTATTTTCCGATCTGTTCTAAATAGATTTGTCTCCGTACAATCCCTAACGAAGGTTACACATGGAAAATATAGAGAGGTCTTCCATCATAATCTTCTAGGGATAGACCGGTCCTTGATTATAGGTCCACAAAGAAGGTCGTAGAACTCGATATTTATAACTATATCAATGCATAGATAGTATGAAAATATTTATGTGTGTTCGGTAATGCCCTTGCGGCGACCACCCGCCTCTCCTTTGTTCGTGAGATTGCCCTCGCAAACACAAGATGCCGCAAACTTCCCACCACCAAACCTTTCACGCAAAGAGTAAGGGACCAGTGCATCTTCGTAAATTCGCCAAGCCTCATTGACTTTGCTCGCTATTGGCTCCACGCCAGCGAGGCCGACCGGGCCCCAGCTCCGCTTAATGTCCATTTACTCTTGAATTTATTGCATCCTATCAGGCACCATACCTTCGCCGGTTTCTTTCTCACTTCCTATGAAATGCCCTTGACCTCCGCCCTCGCGGGCCTCCATTGAGGGTCCGGAGGCTAATCCCCACAATGTTCTTTGTAATGAGAGAAAACAAATCTACCAAAATTATATTTTAAATTTGATAAAAACATAATATGATATTATTGTATTATTGATAACATTAGCTTATATTATGGATGTCATGATCATCATATAACATAAATTATAGCTTTTAATTTTTATAGAAAAGTTAAACTATGAACAGATATATATACCATTGATGTCGTTGTTTTCCATGAATATTTGATGTTTTTTCTCCCATTGCAACGTACGGGCATATTTGCTAGTATAAAACTAAATTATAGAGTGATCCATGTGCAATTTTCATTATTTTAGACAGCTCATCTATTATAGTTTAACCTTGAACTAAATTTTAGGGTGGTCTATGGACCACATGTCCACTTAGGTAGCTCCGCATATGGCCCCAACTAGCTAGGTGAAACGGAAAGATCAGGGATATGAGATTATGTGTTTCAGTGTTTGGTCTGAATCTTAACTGATCTGTCCGTAGCTGGTTTCTTTTAACATAATTAATTATATAATCCGTCTTTTTCAGCTTGTTTTTTTAGTCAAAATAGTATTTTTCTCTCACAACAAATCAGCCGGAACAATGTTTCGGCTTGTTTTTTCAGCGAAGCGAACGGGGCCAGCTAGCTACTTCAGTGGTTCATGCAGAGAGACAATAATAATACGATAGTTAGTAGCCATTTCTATGCAGCTGCACCATCCGCACAAGCCGAAACATCTAAGACAGGTTGCAAAATCTGATTGAAGGAGGCAACTAGATCTGCATTACCGCCTAACTAGAAAGTATACAGAGCACTGGCCACTGCATTCTATAACTGTATAATATAATGTCCAGGCGTGGGTGTTACCGAAAGAATTAGGGTAAACTAGCTGGTGGGTTGACTGATGATCCGATTCAGATGATCCATATGCCAACTCCATAGTCCAGATTAGACATTACTACGTACTGCTAATAACTAATCGACACGGCAAAAAAGAGGGAGAAAGATTCCGGCCAAAAGTGCAGGAGATGCCGTGATGGATTGCCAAATAGTGAAGGTGAGCCTAACACATTTCAGAGCGATGGAGCTACAGGGAAGGAACTGCATGTAAACACTAGCATGAAAGAAGACAGTGTTGTGATCGTGAACATGGCTCTGAAAAGTAGGGAGATGGTAATAATAGAGGGGAGTGAGTTAGGTCTCAGCTCACTTAGCTTGTTGGTTCACAGGATCCCACCGTGTCGACGCTGCACTCGCAACTCCCCTTTTTTTTTTTTTTTTTGACGATTGCAACTCCCCTCTTTGTTGCTTTGGTAAACGACCAGTTTGTTCTCTGCTCCTTTTGACTTGTCATGTTTGCCACGAAGGCCAGGCAGCATGAGAAAAGGTCCACTAGCAGATGGGTGAGGTTGGTCATCAATCATCACTACGGTATATGGCACTCTGGCTTATCTGGAGATCTAGTGGAAAGCAATGGGCATGTTAAGTTTCCTCATGGAAAAAGATGTACCCCTCCATCCCAAATATATAAATTCTAGATTTAGGACAAATCAAACATTCATGAGTTTGACGACTAAAATCATAAGAAAATAATATCAATATTTATATCTCAAATAAATTACTAAATCTAATCTCATGGTATTTATTTGGTATCATAAATATCAATGTATTTTTGTAGAATTGATTGATTATTAAGTTTGAAATTGTATGATTCATGAGAAAGTGAGAACTGTATATTTTTTTGTGATGACGGAGGGAGGAGACGGCAGACTTGCTGGAACCATTCTCTCCATGAAAAGTGGGGGCCACACGCTTCAGCGTGGAGATAGACAGGACCGTACCGTACCTTAGCATCATCATGAACACTACGATCCTTTCTTTTTGAACCAAAATCATTTCGTTGTACCCCCATGCATGATCTTCTTGAAAAGGTATTACGCGTCACCATATCTACTTATAAATTAATCTCCGGTATGATATGAATATGACCTACGTACAGACGTAGGTATTGGCGCCATGAGTACAAGGTAATGATGAGAACCAACCAGGTGCATTTTCCACCCAAAGATCCGGATGGACGAGACATGAAAGCTGTGAAGTACTCGAAAGATCCATGGAGAACGCCTTAAGCAAGGGCGTGTAGCTTTAATTTGGAGCTTTTATCTTGCTACTACCGTGGGGTGGGACCACAAGGCGTACAAAAGGCGAGGAGCGAAACATGCATGCCGGGTGCCCGGGAAAGCCATGCAGGTGCAGCAAACAGGCAAACAGCATGGCGAGTACTACTCACTTGAGCTCGTACACAGGAGACGGCTGAAGAAAAAGAAGAAGAAAAAAAGGCTACAACGAACTGAGGCTGAATTTACAAACGGGCCGGGACGACAAGCTGTCAGGCTGCGTGCGCTTGCCGCTTGGTCTAGCACTCTTGCCGGCCCACCCGGCCGTCCGCACCGCAGTAATCATTTATTCATTTCCACCTCTTATTAATCTTTTCACCGATGCTTCACTCCGGCATGCACAGACTAGATGAAAAAAAGTTAAAGTCCTCTTTAGAATGCAGGTAAATTTTCATTTCATGTTCTCTGCATGTTTTTTTAAATAAATTGATTCATGTAAAATTCTTATTTTTTCAAATAGGCTCTAACTCACGACAGTCGAAAATGATGGCGGAGATGGTACCCCTAAGACAAAAGGCTCGTCAGCGTTAGGGTTAATGGCTCTGAGGGTTACGGTTCAAGGTTTCCGAGAGGAAGGGGTTCCCATGGTTTTAGGCCTTAGGTTTGAGGGGGTCACCAGAGTGAAGGTGGTGGCTGTCGAGAAGATGATGGGGAGGAGTAGCGGGGCATCGCTCACCATGCGATGGGAGAGATCGGTTGAGTGATGCCAGTGGCAGAGCCATCTATCGAGAGGGATATGATGGCTTGGATTAGTGCCGGCGGTGGGCAACAACGTCGGTGGAGGCGATAAAGCGATGTCAAGGTCAACGGGAGGTGGTGGAAGCATTGGCACTCAACTTGAGAAAACCCGTGGGGTGCTAAACCCATGGGTCTTATTGCCATCTCTAGCCTGTTTTAATGTAGAAAGGGAAAGAGTAGGATAGAAAAGAGAAATGGATACTCTATCATTTCTAAATTAAAAGTCGTTTTGACTTTTCAGTATATCAATTTTGCTATGTATTTAGATATAACGTATGTGTAGATAAGGATAAGAGAGAGAGAGACACCCACGTCAACATTCGGACTGTCCATCCATCTCAAATCAAAGTCCAGAAACGTGTTTGACAATTATATAGCCGATCAACATCTTCCAGCTTTTTATTATTTATTAGGATTTCTATATATAAACTATATAGCTAATCAAACATGACCTAATGCATAATCATATTGTTCGATGCGATCTCCGGTCCCGAAACGTATTCAGACAACTTTTGAAGATGGGCTGCTTCACAAACAGTGCTAGAATAGGCCCATTTACCTGCCTTGTACATCGTCTTTCCGCACTATGGTGGAATGGGCTGCAGCCCAATAAACTAAGGAGTATAGCCCATCTAACACCGCGCTGCGCTCGATCGACCAAAAAAAATTCACATGCAAAAGATCTCAAGATATTTTACGATCCGCTGGGCCCAGACGCCGACCCCGACGCTTTTGCCCCACGCCCGCACCGCATCCACCCGCCTCCTGCGCGGCTGTTGCTACGGATCTTCGTCACCGGATAAGCCACACGCTTCCGATTCCACAACTCGATCAACTCTCCGCCATCCGCCTCCCGTCGCCACCTCGCGCTCTCCGATCCCGCGCATATTCTCCACCCCATCCTCTGCTCCGCCACATCACCAACTACTAGGACGCCGCGCCGCAGCCCCATCGTCTCCGAGTTCTGATCACCGCCGGAACCGGTACACGGAAAATCGGAAACCAATGGCGCTCCTCGCGCCGAGCCCGCGCGCGCTCTGCGTGCGGGAGGCCGCGGCGGCGGCGCCGCACCCGCACTCGTCGGTGGCCGCCGCGTGCTCAACGGTCGGCGGCGGGGCGGCCGGGCGGGCGCTGTGGCTGTGGAACGGCGGAGGGACGGGGAGGAGGCGGAGGGAGCGCCGGGAGAGGGTCCGGGCGGAGGCATACTTCTGGGACGTGTCGAAGCCGGTGGAGATGGAGGAGATTGACAGCATGGAGAAGCTCGACGACGCGCTAAGGTGGTCCGTCGAGAACAACAAGCCCGTCATCATCGACTGGTACGAGTGCTGTCGCACATGTTGCCCGACCTGCATAGATCACTCAACTTCCATTGACTTGTGTGGTGTGTCTGTGGCCAGTGATTCGGATGTTGATTGTCGTTATAGTGGAATCGAGATGATTTTTCGCCTTTAGTATTTATCTGCATGCTTAGATATACTATCATATCTCATCAGAAGTTGAGACGTTGTCTATTGCTTCCAGGATGGCAAGTTGGTGTCGGAAATGCATCTACCTGATTCCCAGAATGGAGAAGATAGCAGGAGAATATCCTGGGTTAGTGTGACTTCACCAGCAGAATATTTTTGGGCACAATTTCGAGTTCTGTCATATTGATACCTTAGCAAGTAAACTGATCCTGAGTTCTAAAGACATACACGTTTCAGATTATGAAATGTGTTGATTTGTTTAAATCATGCTTCACGTTTCTGTTGCAGAGTCAGGTTTTACTTCATTGATGTCAATAAAGTTCCACAAGCGGTGGTGAAAAGAGGGAATGTAACTGTAAGTCCGCAAATTCAGAGATTGTTGACAAGATAATAATTGATTCAAAATGACTCTGAAATAATCTGAGTCCTTTGCCTTTCTGTGTGCATACTACAATTCCGATGGTCTGCACATCTACCTTCAGAAAATGCCCACTATTCAGGTGCCACTGCACTTTCTTCCGTTAATTCATTCCCTTTTTTTTTAAGAAACCATCAATTCATTCCTATTCCTATATGATTGCAACTAGAAGAACGTTGATCCTAAACCATGCATT